CCAAGGGGGTCTGCTGTCAGTCAGGAGATCTCCGAACAGTCAGTCACTGGCTTTGTCCGGTATTGGTCTAGCGGTGTGGGTACGGCCAGTCGGCCGTTCAGGGCGCTCAGAATCCTCTCCTCGAGGGAAGGTAGGGCCGAATGTCAGGCAGCTCATCATCTGTCTTGGCTCCTTCTGCCCTATTGTGGGCCATTTTATCGCGGATTGAGGCAGAGGAAGGGATGGAGGGAGATGAAAATGACAGGCATGGCTGTTCATGCTGGTGCAGACGGGGGAGAAATAGTGCAAGGTTAGGACCCTGGGGGCATTGGGTGAATGAAATGAGGGGAAGATGTTGCATATGACGGTTAGAGAGGTAAAGCACAAGCCTTGGTGGGAGGTGGGTGCAGTAGCAGAGATAGAGTATATAAGAAGTAGTAAATAAGATATTATGGCATTTATACTGGGGGAGCAGAGAATATAGTTGAACTTTGTTTGGAATTGCTGGGCATTCCTCTGGATGGTTGAGACAGCATTGAACTGGGTGGCATCAAGACTGGCAGACTATGTGTCGTGACCTTCTCTGCTAGCCCTGGGAGAAGAGAATGGCCTTCCTCTGCACTAACCTGTCCACTAAGGCCTCCATGAGCCCTTATCTCCCATGTCCAGGATAAATGTCACAATCTGTGTGAGTCAACTATGGACTGGGTACACACAAATGTTTAAATGTGGTGCCAGCACCAAGAATCCCAGAATGTCCTTGCAGGAGTAAATACTTCCGCCTGTGACAAAGTGGAAGAATCAGGCTAGCATTAGATGAAAGGAGCGCCATGCCTGGTTAATGAGTTTGGGATGATAGTGTGGGAAAACAGGTTAGGACCTGTGGAATGAAAAGCTTCACGAACCTTGATGAAAATGTCAGTTGCCAATTTCTTGTTAAATTCATCCCTAAATATGAAAAGAAATAATAATAATAATAATAGACCTTCACCCTATTGAATCTGTGCAGGTCAAAAACAGCCACTTAACTATCCTGATCCTATCTTACTTGGCACATTGCCTTGTATGCCTTGGCATCACAAATGCACATCTTCTTAAATGTTATAAGGGGTTCCGCCCCTACCACCCTTACAGACAGTGAGTTCCAGCTTCTCACCACATTCTGGGTGAAACATTTTTCCTCATTTCCCCTCTGAACCTCCTGCCACTTACCTTAAATCTATATCCCTGATCATTGATCTCTCTGCCAAAGGGTGAAGTTCCTTCCTGTCTATCCCATTCATAGTTTTATTCATGTCAATCATGTCCCTCCTCGGTCTTCTCTACACCTAGGATACCAACCGCAGCCTATCCAATCTCCCTTCATTACTTAAACTCTCTCATCCAGGCAACATCCTGGTCAATCTCCTCTACAGCCTCTCCAGTGCAATCACCTCTTGCCATGGGTCACCCAAAATGTCAATCATTATAGAACTCCACCTTCTCATAGCTTCAGAGGGTTGTCCTGGTTTCTGAAAATCCAGTAATATAATGCAATTTTAAAAATTCCTTTCGAAACCTTTTAGCATGTTTAATAATTATGTTCAGGAGATCTTCTTGCAGTACACAGAGGATTAATTAGAGCATTTGAATTGGATGAACTATGACATTTTGATTCATTGCTAAGCTCATTACAGTAGACACATTAGGACATCTTTTCCATGAATTTAAAGGAAAATAGTAGGTAGGGGTACATAAGATGGTGTCAATTTTGTTTTGTCCTTCAGTATTTTACGCATCTTTCTTGCATCATGAAATAGGTGAAAAGAAATCCAAGAGACAAAAGGAAAATTGTGTTCAGGTCTATCCTAAGAAAATTCTTGTAGAACTGCATGGTGTGGGGGAATGATGAAAATAATATAAGGGACATAAGAACATAATAAATATATAATCTTCTTTCCCTTCAAATGCACCAGACAAATCAAAAAATCAAAGACCTGTAAAATATCCACTACGCATCTAGCTGTTAGTGATGACCTGTATTTAATGGATTTATTGACAAGCTGGTGAACTATAAGCCCAAAAAAGCCACATATTTATAAAAGCAAAGAACTGCAGATGCTTCTTTGGGTTTCTGAAGAAGAACCATGTTGGACTTGAACTGCTAACTCTGTACTCTCTTCGCAGACGCTGCCAGATCTAACGAACTTTCCTAGCACTTTCTGTTTTTCTTTAAGACACATAGTTGTGCTGATTCTGCCAGTTAAGTGTATAGACATTGTTAAAAAGAGACACAAAGTCAAATTGCTGTCCCCTTTTTAAGTCTGTTTTTTACATCCCAGTCGTTATGGGTGCAAGTAAAAAAGCTTCAACTTAAGTTCTGTACTCTTAAATGACTATTTATGAAATGTATAGCTAATGAGTTGCACAGGCGATTCTGGGAGAATTTTGGTACATTCCTTCTTGCCAACTATTAATGATGGTTCAAAGAATTCATACCTGTCCATACCTATTTACATGATCCATCTAATCATGGTTTCTAATACAGTGTTGAAGATCTAGGTCACTAAATGTTCACATTATAGGAGAGGATAAGAAACAAAACATTGTGCTAATCAGTCACTATGATACAGTAGACGGTAAGATAGACTTGTCAAATCCCCTGTCACCTGGCTCTTGTGTCACAATAAATTTCTTCTGGTTTTCCCTCCATCATTTAAGTATTACTGGCATTTCAGACAAAAAAGGGCGAAGAAAACTGATTGATCAAGTAACTGAACTCCTTCACAGTAGAAATGAAGCAAATTTCTTCAACTTTTATTGAATATTATTCACAAGTTTCTTGCTGCTGAAAGACCTGCTGTGAGGACTGAGAGGAAAAAAAAACTTTAAAATGTCAGCACGGTTCTAACAGCAATGAATGGAACAGAAATTATCATCTCCACAGAATGAATAAATTAAAAAAGACAAACCTTGCATTTGTAGAACCTTTCTCAAACTCGGCACATCCCAAAAATGCTTTACACTTAAGTACGTTGGATTAGTCCTCACTGTTGTAATGTAGGAAACATAACAGACAATTTGCACACAGCAATACATACAAACAATGTGATAATGACTAAGTCATCTGTTTTACTGATGTGGCGTGATGGCAAAATATCCACCAGGATGCTAG